GTGCGGATTGTGTATCACCTATAACGCGATGAATCGATCTCGTCAATTATTTAAACCTTCTCTTTCTTCTTCCCTCTGCTTCTCTTTCACTTTCTCTTTTCTTCTTCTTTATTTCTCTCTCTTCCTCCCTCCCTCTCTCTCTCTCTCTCTCTCTCTTTCTCTCTCTCTTTCTCTCTCTCTCTCTCTCTTTCCTTCTAATATCTTACTTATTTGAAAATAATAAATAAAAAATGCGCGTCTGTTTATCGAAAATAATTAATTACTTGCGTCTATCGCGACATCTGTTTTAATTTATTCTTGAAGAAGATCGCGATGTCACAACTATATTTTCATTCTCTTCGTCGATTGCTTTTCCATTTTTTCATTTTTCTAAGTTGCATTAGTTTCATTTTAAAGACATCAAATATCGCATGTTTCAATGTTATCGCACAATTGCACGTTTCGGCAAGAATTTGCATCAGCCCCTTCTTCGCGCGTCAGCAACCCGTTTTGCTTTCGAACAGAACGTTTCAATGTGCAGTCAGCGCTCATTCAGCGTTCGCGCCGGTAAGTCAACAAGAAGAAGGAACAGAATGTATCGAATACGCATGTTGTATCGCCAAGTCGGTAATAAAACGAGCATAACCGAATGTTATCGACTGACTGTCGCTCGGACTTTTAGAGCGAAGCTTAATTACGAATATCGATTCTTGATAACGCCTTCATTTGTGCGTTCACACATTTTCATTATCTTGCTGTACTGATTTGTGAATATAAATATTTATCATGTCCTATATATTATATAATTGCTGCATTTTTTATTAACTATAGATATTCATTCATCACAGATATTCAGCGAATCAAAAAAGATGCAAATTGCTTTATAATCAGATTATTGACATCTTTGTAATTTTATATTTAAAAAATTAATCTTTATATGAAAAAGTTAATTTTAAATATAATTGTACAAGTACATAAATTTCCACAGAAGATCTTTAATTTTAACGGAAAAATACTTTCGACAAATTCGCGCACATTGAAGCACGTCCTTGAAAATTAGAGAACTAAAGAATTTTAGAAAAGTTAAATTCTTAATATGAAAGTACACAACAAAATCTGAATTTGTTTTAAATTTCAAGTAATTTTCAACGGAATTTTTTTCCAGGGCTTAATCGCGAAGATTTAATTCTGAAATGCAAACGTGAATAAATGAATATCGAGGAGCGAAGATTTATCGGATGTTTGACATTTTAATTTAAGTACCTCATCAAAACACAATCTCTTGCACGACCGAAGCGAGAAAGAGCGGATTTTCAAAATCGAATGTTTCAAAATATTATGAACGTGTGGTACATACTTCCCGCACTCACTCGGTCCTTCGATCCTGACTTGGCCTGTAAACAGTGCATTATATTTTCAACGATATCGAGCTTGAATATTTTCTCAAACGGCCGAATGTTTATATATGCAATTTTGCATCCATATTTTATCGCTCACGGCGGGTACCTGGTTGTCCTTGATATTTCAGGCATATCGACGCGCAGTTGTGGTATAGACCGCGAAGTAAATTGAAATTTGCACGTCGCGTAACGTTATCTTAATTCTTGCCTACCTTGAGCCGTGAATATCGGTCGATAGTATAGTATGCGCAATTAGATACACCGTTGAAAGTCGATAATGTTTTATAACCGACGATTGTCGCTAATGCACCGCGCTACGTGACTCGTGCGGGATCAGGTTCGAAAAGTTTCGAGAGTTAATGATAAAGAAGTCTGATTTTTATCGTCAAATGGTTTATTGATGCCTTCTGTCAACGTTACAAAAGTGTGAGAGATGAAAGGAAGTGGAAATGATACGAAAAGAGTATCGATACTTCAATGAGATGCTCTTCTACCGTTACTAATGCCTTCTTGGCTAGTATTTTCATGTTTTTAATATCGAAATCAAAGGACACAGAGAGAACTGATAGTAGCAACTATTAAATTCGTATCGTAAATTCAAAAATTACACAGAAGAAAATTATCTGTGATGCAACTGCTCTTCACGTGATTACGAGTACTATTGTATTGTGATAGCTGTTGGAGAATCTTTACAACTCCTTGATGACACACATTATCTCGAGATAGTTCAAGAAGGGAAAAGAAGATAGAGCGAAGAACGGAAAATTCGAAGATATAACTTTTGTAGATATTTCTTCTTTTACTTTCTTCTTCGACTCCTACTGATATCGATACTTCTTTTCCGATGTATGTACACTACCGATACGTTCCTTCCAACAAGTCAAGTATCGAGAATTTTTCTTTCGATACCGTATCCCCTTCTACGTAGATAAGCACCGAGACATCCGGCATCTATGAACACAACGACAGGTTACTCAATCTTGAGAGAGAGTTCGAGATCTTTCGTACGAATGACGATCTTTCTCCGGACGCTCCGAATCGCATCGTCTACTTTTAAAACGTTCGTATACGTTCGCCGATGTCCGTGAAACCGAATATGAGATAACGTATCTCTAATTTAGTTAAATTACACCGTTGCTAATTATAGAACATTTATCAAATACTTCTCTAACAGCGTATGTTATTGTATAATATAAAAGAAAATATAAAGAATAAAAGAAAAAATACGATAAATACGAAAATAAGAAAAAAACGATGTTTAAAGAAAAAGAAGAGCAGTGTGGACTACAGCGAAATAATATAAATATCCGATGACATGAAATACTAGTATAGCAGAGACATTAAAAGTGCGTAACGAAGAATCAACGTCGATAGACAAAATCAGTCTTTCTAAGCGTGCCAGAATTTCCCATTTCCCGTGTCTTATTTGCCACTAAGCGAAAATATTTGTGCAGCACCTAAAGTTTCCAGCAGTTTCCTCCTTCGTTCGTTACGTAACTCCCGGTTATACCGCCCGGGTATGAGGATACCCAGTGCAAATTCCCCGAAGAATACGAATCGTCGTTGTGTTATCCTTCACTGTCGTACCGATATAATAGCTGGATATGCATGATTCTTTTTCTTTTTTTTCTTTTTTGAATTTTATGGATCGGCTCCTCTCTCTTTCTCTCTTTTTCTCTTTTGCCCAACACTACATATGTGCATGAACGATTCGGCATTTTTTTCTTTTTTTTTCTTTTCATATTAGCCAAAGCGCCACTCTCGTCGATTCCCGGTTAACCAATACAAACAAATTGGCGAGATATTGTTATCTGATTACAAACAGAGACTCCGCTCTGCCTTTGGCTTTATGCGTCAATGCGCGCGCGCGCGCGCGCGCGTCGATCGATATTTCCGCGAGAGAGGCGAGAGCCACACATTCAGGTGGAGAGCGTCTGCGACTATCTGGCTATCCAGTGAAAAGAGCCGTCATGGCTCGCGAAATATTCGCGGGACGAGCGCGAACACAGGAATGCTCGTAGAAATTCGAAATTCGAAAGCCAAGTTCTTCAGGTAATTACGCGTCGGTCCCTCGAACGAGTACTACGACCGTGGACGCGCCACTCGAAGTGGCTTCACCCTCGATTCAGGGAGCGAAACCGGTATAGTTTCTCCGGTGAGTGTAGATTTCGATGCTGAAGACACGCGGGAAGAATTTCCGTCTTCGTCTTCGCAACCGGTGGAACTTTTCGCGTTCGCGTTCGCGCATCGAAAATCGGATTCGCCGCGGGTGACTCGACCGGACGTGATCGTCCAATTTACAAATTGCACCTGTTCGCGCCTCTCCTTCGAATTTTCACGCGGGATTACGCATTTTTTCGTCCTTCTGTTTTCTTTTCCCGAGAGAGATCGACTCGTACGATCGCTTGAAATCTGAGTTTCGTCATCGCAAAAGCACGTAACGTCGACGTGACTTCTCGATCGAGAAAATCGCTGAACCATGACACTTTCCGAGCCAACATGCGATTCCCGCTCGTTAATTACAGTTCGTCCGCGATGTCAGGAATCGGGCGCAATGCGGGCGCAGGAGAACGCCGGAGAGATTAGAGAAGGATGGAAAGGAATCGCGTCGGACCGCGGGAGTCCGTACGAACCGTTGTCGACGGAACAATGGTGTCAACAGATCAAAGCGTGATGTCGCACCAGCGAAAATTTTAGACTTGTCTCTTTGAAGGAGAGGTATTATTAATACATGAGATGTCGCGATATAAGCGCCATGCCAAAAGAATTTACAACATCCGATCGTGAGCGAGTGTACAATCAATTGTACAATAACGTATAGAGTTACAACGACGCATAGATTCAAATTTTCCTCTCGTATATCAAACGTATTATACAGCGTATAGCGTTTCCTCATTAAATGAGCTTACAACTCTCTTCGTCCCTGTGCTTTCGAAGCTGAAAGCTGAAAGGCGGACCGATATCACAGAGTTTTCTGTCCGACGGTTCGTCATTCGCGAGTCTCGAACCGAGTGCAAAGAGAAAACGGAAAGCCAGCCGTAGACGACAATGCAACCTACGTTACGGGGCTACAAGAAAAGTGGGCGAAAAAGGAAGAGAGCGACAAGGAGGAAGAGAGACAGACACGAAGAAAAAAGGAGAGACAAGTTGGGAAAAGAGAGTTCGCGACCGGAAAGCCGAGAAAAAACAGGCCGTAAAGGCGACAGACGCTTGCCGTCGGTGCAGTGGAAATTTCCAGTGGCCCACGGGTGGGGTTGGCAGAAGGAGGAGACGGGATGCCAGGCGGTGAGAGAAAGAGAAGGTATAAAGAGGAAAGAGGAGAGACAGAGAGAGAGGGAGAGAGAGAGAGAGAGAGAGAGAGAGAGAGAGAGAGAGAGAGAGAGAGAGAGAGAGAGAGAGAGAGAGAGAGATTGTGAGTGAGCGAGTGAAGGGCGAGGGAGAGAGGAGAGAGAGAAGGAGCGTGCAAGAAGAGAGGGTGACCGTCAGGCGGCGGGAGAAAGACGGCGGCGCGGAAAGCAGCAGCCGGCTCCTGACGTCGGGGAAACCAGACGTCCGCGGCTACCGCGGAGAGAAACCTGGGGGAGCGTACCGGCGCGACGAGCTGGCGAGCGCGAGTCTTACCTTCGTTTTCGCGAAGGGCGGCAGGCACAGAGGCCATGGCTGCATCATCTGTCTTCTCTTGGAGCTGGACATCCTGTCGCAAGGGCGGTCCTGCGTAGAGGGAAGGGTGGGTGGGTCGGCGATAAGCTGATACAGGCAGTAGCTACACGTTTCTCGCAGCTTCTCTCTCTCTCTCTCTCTCTCTCTCTCTCTCTCTCTCTCTCTCTCTCTCTCTCTATTTCTGTCTGTCTCCCTTTCTCTCGTGTTCTCGTCTCCCGCAGGAGGCACCACGTGTCGTCGCCTGTCTCTGTGTAAGAGAGCTGCGCGTTCGCGACGTGTGCGACGTCCTGTTGGGTTATCTCGCCGAAGTCGTGTCGGCTTTCTCTCTCTCTCTCTCTCTCTCTCTCTCTCTCTCTTTTTCTCTCTTCCTTCGTTCCTCCTTCTCTGTCCCGACGAATGAAGCTACTTCCACCTGTGCTGAGCCCCTCGCGAGCGACGCCGATGAGACGCGGAGAGACCGGGTAGGTCTCGCGCGCGCGGCTCTCCTCTCTCGGCTCGATGCACAGCTCGATGCACGACGTACGTGCAGTACGCGTCGATCGGCCGGCAGACGCGTGCGTAGGTGTACGCAGGTGCGTGCGTGCGTGCGTTTGTCGCGTTCGTTCGTGCCTGCTTGCGTGCGTGCGCGTGTGCGTGCGTACGTCACGAGCAGTCGCACGTGGGGCTGTTTTGACGATTACGTGATTCCAGCGTTGTGACGGAACGACGCAGCCGTCGTCGTCGTCGTCGTCGTCGTCGTCGTCCTCGGCGTAGTAGTAGTAGTAGCAGCAGTAGTTGCAACGGTGGCAGCAGTCGTTGCCCTCGTCCTCGTCGTGGCTCTGTCGCCGTCGGCACCTGCGGCGTTTTGACGCGCGCGCTTTCTCTCCCCGCTGCGCTTTTGATCGATCGCGTTCGATATTATGTATCGCGCCGCCGCGTTTTTCGAACGAGCCTCGTACGTTCGAGCACGCGATCGACGCTCCGCTTTCGTTCGTTCGTCGTGCGTGCGTGAATGCGGCGTGCGTACGGCGAGTGAGCGTGTGGGTGTGTTATCAGCGGCGTTGCGCTAGTGCCCTCGTGAAAACGACGAGCCGCTCTCTCTCTCTTTCTCTCTCTCTCTCTCTCTCTCTCTCTCTCTCGTGCGAATGTGTGTTACGCACCCTCGGGATGTTACGCAGGGAACGACCGGAGCCTAAATGAGACGTTTCGTGGTGCCTTTAACCCGTTCTCTTGCCGGTGTTCGCCTACCGCTATCTTCTCTCCACCTCCTCCTCCTCCTCCTCCTCCTCCTTCTTCTCCTCCACCACTGAACCTCGGTGTCCCGTGTCGCGAGATATAGTCGTCGGCTCGCTCTTGTTGCTCTCACGTACGAATTCGTCTAGCGATTACGTGCGGAGGAATTGTTTCTCCCCCTTCTCTGCCTTTCTGCGTTTTGTTTGTTTGGTTTTTGTTTTTGTTAATTCACGTGAGTCTTGGACTGGCCGTCGGTGATAAGTTGCGCGGCTGCTGCCTTATCTCGACGGCGCGTGCCTCTCGTTGTGCCAGCGCAAATTCCTACCGAGATTCGCCGGTCGAGACCGAGAGAGAGAGTTCAAGGATCTCGAGAGACTTTGCTCCCTCTGTGTGTTTTTTCTCTCTTCCTTCTCTCCTTTTACTTCCTCCCCCGTCGTCCCACTGTCGTCCACGATGTGCCCGATTTGTTGTCGTCCGCGCTCTTCCTCCGTCGACTTTCAATTCTCGATTCTCGCTCGCTGCGCTTACGTCTCGTTCAGCATGGAAAAGTGTGATGTTACGGTGTTACGTTTGGGGAACTTTGCTAATCGGTTCGGGGGGTTGACTCTCTTTTATATACACGCTGCTGGAAATATAAGCGCCGCCTCCTTTTCCGGGGGCTTGCACGTGGTAGGGATGGAGCCACGGGGCCGCGCGACGGGGGCTGCGTTATGCCGGTGCGCGAAATTATCACAGATTGGCAGTGGCGTGCGATACGAAGGGTACGCGTTTGTCCGAAGAAACGAACGCTTAGGTACCGGCACGGTTGCATCGACGTCATCCGACCGGGTTAGGTGCTAAATTAATTTGAAAGTACTTCTGGTGTGCTCTTTCTCTTTTCTATTTTCTGCATTTACTGATACCAGCCGGTATCTGATAATTTGCTCAGATGTACACCTCGTGTCTGTTCTATCGATATGGTGAAGGTTTTGTTGGGATAACACACACACACACAGAGAGAGAGAGAGAGAGAGAGAGAGAGAGAGAGAGAGAGAGAGAGAGAGAGAGAGAGAGAGAGAGAGAGAACAAATTGTTCAAAAATATATATACATACATATATATATTTTTAATTGTATATTGATATAAATAAAGAATGTGAATATAAATTGATTTAAGTGCAGGAGCGTCGAGTTTGAGATAAATTTTAATTCATTTTTATGAGGGTGCTTCTATTCCAAGCCTCCTCGGCTCGATTCAACTTTCAAAGGTACCCTCACTATAACCTCGTAACCTTCAATTTCACTTTGTTCCTTTTCTTGCTCCTAAAATGTTTCGTATGGGCTATTTTCGGATCCTTTTGGTCAACGATCGCAAACTTATCCTCACTTGACCCGACCTGTCCTATAATAGTGTTGAATAGTGTAGTGAACAAGGTCCACACAGGTATCCACTAAGAACCACTCTTATTCAAATGAAATGCATCGCGTTTTATGTTATCGTAAAACTGTAGAAAGATTTTCAAGCGACGATTTTATTTTTATATGATATAAGCCGGTTTATGCCACTAGAACGTGATGATTAGAAGTAATTGTTTTATTTCAAGTAGCTCTTTAGTTGATGATTCATCACCGAGTGATGCATCAAAATTTTATATAAGATATGATAATCTAAGATATGTTCGTTACGATTACATCAGTCGGTTGCATATATTAAGGGCAAAATTAGTTTCCTGCTGTTTTCGTTGCGAAATCATAGCTGTAATTTAGAAAAGCTCCGCTTACTGATATTCATAAGTCGGTTTGATATATTTCATTCTCATTTTTAATTACGATACCCCTAAAACATACACCTAAAAAAGATCATCATAAAAAATAATATAATGAAAAATATCACGACAAGTACTGTACGAAATAATACAGTAAAAATTGTATTCTACTTCTATGATCTTCTCTCTTTCTAAAAGTTCGATAAGAAATATTGATCCATGTACGTAGACATGATAACGAAAAGATCGTAATATTTAGCAAGTCAGTTGCAAAATCGTTAAAATATAAAAAATGTTCTTGCCGAAATTACGATCAATAATTCTGCGAGAAATTTCATCATTGGCGATGGCATGTTTCGTCATATCTGGTGATGCCATTTTACATTCAAGTGACGTAAAAACATGCAAGGGTAGAACTATATATACTTCTTGAAACTTGCTCTCGTCGCAAAATTTTAAATAAATAGACAGGGAATATTTCTCGTTAGTCACGATAGAAATGCTGCGTTAAAGCATGTTTTTTCAACTGGTACGCGTACTTTCCAACCATCGTCCGCGTCTTTTTTGCGACGTACTATTATGCTGGTACATATGTCATTAGATGATTTCACACGATAATTTGCGAAACAAGCTACGCTCGTCTCTCTCACAGTTAACCCATTTCTACCTAGGATCTCTGCCGCAGCGGGCAGGCGTATTTTTTTCTTTTCCATTTGCATAAACTTCATATTTCATGCGCGAGTGTATTTTCCATTCGTTTGCATTCAGATAAATAAATTGAGAATCAGGATTCTCGAAAATCCCGACGCGGAAGTGTTCGACTTGGAGGTATAAGTATATCCGCAATATAAATATCTTATCCTTTGAAGTCGTTGAACTTGAACTTGCCGGAAGAGGCCGGATGAGCTGTTCCTCCACACTAGACGATAATAAATATCAAATTTCTTTTTCCTTTTATATGACGTTTTTCTCGTAGTACGTAGCGCTAAGCTCTAGATCGTCTTCGATTCTCACAGGATATGATGGTGCGCGTAATAAAGCAACGAACCGAGAACCGACATTCGCGTATCGCGATATTCGCCAAAGAAGATCCAAACGTGCAACAGCCTCCTTCATCTACGGATGTTTCAAGACGTCCGACCTCGTTCGACCATATATACACTAGCCACTCCTGTCTCTGTGCTGTACATGTCTGTCCGCACGTACGGCTCATCCCTCTCTTGAAAGTCCCAATTCGTTCTTTCTTCTAGTCTCTCTCTCTCTCTCTCTCTCTCTCTCTTTCTCTCTCTCTCTCTCTCTCTCTCTCTCTCTCTCTCTCTAACCGCGATCTTCTTAGATTCGTCCCCGAGATTATGAGATTTACTTTTACGTTCATTTAACTTTCCTCTGAATCCTCACGATAGCACTCGGATTCATACCAATAGTTTATGTTTTATTTCTCATCGTTCGTAATTTATCGCGTCGATTTGTTGTTTATCGATCTCTGTAGAGTCTTCGATCCTTTAAGCTCCAGCTTTAATCCTTTATTTTGCACTGTGAAAAACCTCGAAAGTAAGTGCGTGAATGTGTGGATACAGAAAAATACAAACACACCGGGGCACATTTCGCAGATTTTTATAGGAATATAAAGACTCTTTTGTTTTCGTGAGCTATTTGATGGCTTTCGCCTGATGAATAGTATCGTTAATTAGTGCTTATATTATTTCGCGTCAATGCTTTTTGCGCGCGGTTCATTAAGAGTTCGCCTAGTGCCATAAAATTGCGCTCGACCTCCGCTCGTTTTATTTGAGACCAAGGCTACTGAAGTTACAGATTTTTCTCTTCCTTCTTCTAGTCAGACGCGAATTAAGCGATCGAATGAATGGATACTTAATCGCGCATTGGTGGCGCGCATCATTGCGCGCGTCGATATGCATTCTTTTTAGCGATGTTAATTTCACATTAATAATGTCCTTTATTCCCAATCGAGCGCTCAAAATCTGGTCAAAGGTCTTTGTACGGTACTTATCCCGCCCACCAAACTCGGAACGATTCCATTCAGAGAATTTCGTTTCACTTTAATCGATTTCAATAATAATGCGATATATCATACACTGCGAAGCATGTTTTGAATCCGCGTTCCGCGATCGGATGATCCCGTGAATAATTCTGAACTTGAGACAATCATTCCCCCTTTGTTCGTTTAATTGGAACAATTTCAATCAATATTCATTTAATCGAAACAATTCCGATCGAACGTATTTTTTTTTTTTTTTGTTATTTTTTACACCACAAGTTCATACGAATACATTCCTGCATAGAACATTTCTTTCGCGTAAACCAGTTGGAGTCCACTCCGATTTCTCAGAAGAGTCGTGTATTCTGACTGGGAAATCTACGTTGATTCAGGTTAAAAGCGTAACATTTCAGACTGACCGTTTGAGTCGTTTGATATTTTCGCTATTAAATGCAACATTATCATAAAATTATATACTGATATTTTAATATTGCGTATAGTGCAGCCATCATATCGTAGGACATATGCGACAAATGCAAGAGGCCATGTGAATGGAAAGTCGCTGGAAATCAATCCGACGCAAAATTTGTTTTGTATTTGATTGATTTTGTATTGTACACTGAGAAAAAATTGTATTAAAATTAAACAAATATTTGTTCGAGTACGACTGCGAATACATTTATTCAGATTAAGCGACTAATTTCTGAAATGAAATACAGAGGTTTTCTCTGAATGTAAACATTTCTCTTGAATTTTAGAAAATAATTGTTTAATTTAAGTAACATAGATGTATTCACAGTCGTATTCGATATTTGTTTAACTTCAATACAATTTTTTCTCAGTGTAGCTTGTAATAATCAAGAGAGTATCATTTCTTACAAACGTCAAACCGATCCGTTGCGAAACATTAGTGCTTTCGGAAAAAATACCATTGGCAACGATTAGTCTCAGATTTATGTTTTTCAACAAAAAATAATCACATCACACGGTTAGATAATAATAAGATATCTGGTGTCTATTACGAACAACAGCATCTGCGTGCGAGATGAGATCGATGACAAATGCGTACAAGCAAACATGAACGAAATGTGATTGCAGGCGTATAAAAACAAATGGAGAAAAACCCAGAATTCTCTATTCGTAGTATTTATGCCGTTGGAAAAATTGTTCGTTTCTCAAAGATGAGTGTTAAAAGCGGCGAATCTGAGTAGTGAGAGAATCTGAATGAAGTACAGTACCGCGAATGTATGTATGAATACGCGATTCGTCAGCGTGAAATCTTACCATTTTACTTGGAATCATAAAA